AGACTCGACAGGTTCAGCGGCTGCATTCGTCTCCTTGTCATCTCGGACGTGCGACTTGAAACCGGTCGAAGGAGCCTTGCATCGGAACCAGAAGCTAAGAATTCAAGGGCACTCACTCTCTACACCAGCGTCTCTAAACTCCTGAAACCTGAACCCCTAAAGTTGTAACCCCCCAAATCTCTACAGAACCCCTGGGCCCTCATCCCTCATCGCCCTCATTCCTGAACCACCGAACCTTGAACCCGAAACCCACAAACCCCGAATCTCTTGAATCCTTTTAGACCCTTGCGAAGCCCTTGTGGTACAGACCCAGGTAAAACGCTTTTCAAGGAGCCTACAGGACCCGTAAGATGCCTTCATTCATAATTCACTGTTTTGGTGGGGCTAGAAGGGCTCGCATACCCGAAAACCCGAAACCCTTGAGCCAGGAGCCCAAATCTTTAAACTCCGAAAACCCACGAAAAAAACCCTAAACCCCACAGCCAAACTCCTGAAACCCGTCTGCAGATTCCAAATGTCCGATAGGAGGAAGTTCCTTCTACCGGGCGACACAGGACCCGTCGCCGGATCCCAAGAGGAGCCCTTGCGTGCATGAGCGGCCTCTCGAAGAAGGGTTTCACAAAGGGTGTGAGTGTTTCAAAAAGGGTGTCATGGCGACTGTAAACGGTTCTGGTGTAAGTATGCCCTTGACTTGTTCGAAGTTTCAGTAGTTTCAACTATCTGGTTATTAAGTCGGAATGATGGGGTCTACAGGGTCCAGAGCACACAGAAGCCTGTCTCAAAAGTGGCAAGTGGACCCTGGAATCTAGAATAGACCCAAACTAGCAGGATCCCCATTCTGAAAGGGCCCTTAAATGGGGCACCGCAAATTGGCTTCGAGATTCCTTTCGGAGAAGGTGCTTAGGATCTGGAGCGTTGGGTGCATAGGTTTCTGTTGCTGCCGGTTTGAGTTAATCTTTTTTTAAACTTACAAAAAATGAGAATGGGGTTTGCTAATTGTGTGCTTAACTTACACCTTGCGCATGGGCCTTTGTAGTGTAGTGAGGATCAGAATAACGATCCGAACATATTTGGTGTCTACAATTGCATAAGGGTCCTTCAGTGTCTGAAGCTCCTATATTCGATTCCAAAAGCATGAGGCAATGTCGGGATGCTCTTTACCGGAGTGCTCTCTACCGGGGCAGCATGCGAAAACGAGCGGGGCGCGGTGAAATTATTGACACGAAGAGCGCCGTGCATTGGAATTCGCGAGGGATCGTACCGTTCGGAGGAAGACGACTTGCTGTATACTGCGCAAGGGCTCGCCGAGCGGAGGGCGAAGGAGTCGCGTGCATTGGCGTTTACAAAACAGAGGCTCCTACCGATCGCACGAAATGCCGAGAAAGTTGCCACTTTGGGCTGTGCACCTGTTGCAGTGTGCAGTGGATCGCGGCGACCCAAAGCGAAGCGCGGCGTCTCCTGCTAGCCTGGCCCTTGCAAAACGCCAAAATCAACGGCATCAAAGAAAGAAAGAGAAAGATGCAGGAATATCGTGACATACCATCCCCAGCCCTTCTGCTCCAAAACCCTTCTCCGTCGCTTTCGGGGCTATGTGTAGGAGCCCTTAATGGGTGCAAGATGAAAACGCAAAACAGGGAATGCTGACGAGAGCCCAGCAGCTGGCATTATGCTGTGCAGTCGTGATAGAACCTTTTGCGAGCGTCATCCTCGACTGTGCTGACTGCTGAGCACTACGAGCTAAAACAAAGTGAACTGATTTTGCAGGCAACTCCAAAGCCCTCTAAAAACCTAAACACTCCATCCTCAACTTGCTGCTTCTAAGCTTTGGGGCCATGTACAGAATCCGGACAGAATAAAATTGAAAGCAAAAGCATAGCATTCGTTTCTTCCGGCAGCACCGGGTTGACATGGTGTTCGAAGGGACAGCAACGCTGCCAGATCTTCATAGATTCTGACAAGTGCATACAGAAGCAGGCGAAGCAAGCCAAGCTGAACACGACATGGCCAGTCCTTGTCCCAGATCGCGTGTTGGGTAGCTTCCTCCCAGCACCAATCTGGCTCCGTTGCGGGATCGCTGAAGCCGACGCCTACGCAAACATCGACATACACCCGCAGGCACACAAACATCCTTCTGAGTATCATGAGGCTCCCACGATTCCATCCCCTGTTCAAGAGAATTTGTCGTTTCAACGGCAATTCACGCACCTGCCAAGGCAAGCCATCCCATTTCTCCGATGCAAGCAACATCCGACGCCTGTCTAAGCAGCTCGAGAAGCTGGTGACGGCGGGTCTGACATACTCCTGCGTCTGCTGCCCAAGAGAATCGACTTATTGAACATTCCTCAAGCTTGCCTTGACCTGGAAGCAAAGGCTCCACCACAGACGTTCGACTCACCAGTTCGCCAAAAGCCCGCCTGTGCCCACGTTCTGAGCGACCGGGGCATGCATGCTGCCAAGCAACGAGGCTCGGTGATGGGCACTTGCCGACAGGACCTGCGCCTCCGAAATCAACACACAAACATTCGTTCACACAACTAACTCCTTTCCTTCCCGCCTCGTCACTCCACCAACCTGAAAGCAATGTGAAGCCAAAGCAAACATAAACGACCCAGTGACGGAAAGCCAGCCTAGTATTGGATAAAAACAGCTCCATCATGTCCGCTGCATCCGCTGCTGGCCTGCCACACACTACATTCTTTCACTCATTAATTCCTCTATAGAGACTTATGAAGGCCAACCGGCCCGACTGGGAGTCGAAGCCTTTGTGCAAAGCCGTCCATGCCAGTCTAAATTATCCCAGTGATTATTTCCTGTTCCTCGGCAAGTGGCCATGGAAAGTTCGAGGCAATGTCATTGAATAGCAGATTAACCCTTTTCCTGCCCGCCGAGCCACGCAGTTGTCGTCAGCCTTTGGCGCTTGGATCTAGATCGATGTAGGGTGCCGACGCGGAGGAGCTTCGCCATGGATTCCGTGCAGGATGGCGGCTTCCGGGGAGGCTTCGCCGGCAGCTGGGGGCCCGTCACTGAAGGACGTAACGGCGGCCGCGGCGGAGGCTCCACGCGGGGCTCATCGGCGCAACCCAGCCCGGGTTAGGGAGACTGTGATTTGCAAAAATCCCCACCAGCGATGCTCGGCGAAGACCCGTTGCGACATCAACTGACCTGATGCAAGCATGCAAGGACATCCTACTTCGCAGACGGTGCTCAGGCTCCAACTCTTTTGTATGTCGTTGGCGCGGAGCCATTTCTTGCGCCTGCCAACACAGAGAGCTAGCTGCTGCAGGATTCAATGGCTCGCAGAGGAGCTTCCGAGGTGAGAAGTTCAAAGAGTCAGCGACCCACTCGTCGTGGTTGAACCTGAGGGATAGGGAATTGACAGGACCATGGCGATGAACTTCGCAGGCCCCGGCCCCTGCATATGTTCCAGCGCTGGACAAGAGATATGAAGACTACGCATTTCGATGCAAGCCAAGCTGCAGAAAGAAGGACAGCGGAGTGAAAAACTGATCTCCCGCATGACACACACTGCAACATTTCCATGATAAACATATATATATAATATGTGAAAAATCACACATATAGACATGATCACGTGCACACCGGCATACCCGCTGCCTCCGGAAACAATCGCTCTTTTATCGCGACCACTGCAGCACTGCTTCTTATCACTGGCTTGCACTGGTCTACCTGGACCTTATCCTTTCGCACGCGGTTGCGTATGGAATTTCTGAGGCGTTGCTGATCTTCTGCGGCAAAGCTACACTCCACAGCCTCACCGAGTCTTACACATCACGCAGCCGGCACAGAGGCAGTTCCCAGCTTTTGCAACTTGTGGGTTCGCGTGTCAGTCTATTGAAAGCCAACTTCGCAATGGATTTTGCCAAAAGGGATTTTGCAAGGTTAACTTCGTTTAAGTTTCTTAAAGACAACACCAGCTTTTTAACCGCAAGGGCATGAAGGATAAAAATTGAATTGACAGTGCAGGACATGCGTGTGGCAGTCTGAATCACGTGTAAAGACATAAACAAATCATAAAGCGAATGTCTGGAATTGCGATGCTACCTTTTCAGCACGACCACGATCGAACCCGTTCCCTCGACCCCCACACGTGGCGGCCTGCCAGCCTTCTTCTCGCGACTCACGGGGAGGTTGCAATCCGAGCATAAAGGCACTGGGCATTATTGGCATTTTGGACAGCAGGGCTTCTCGCGCATCCGGGCCAGGTGCCCTTTGTTTGTCAAGACGGCATCGCAAATGAAGCATGAGTCCATCGCAAAAGCCAACACTTGGAAGAAGGAGAAAGAGCAACGGCTGGAGCAATCGAGTTTTCTGTGGGGGTTAAAGAAGCTACAGGAAGTCGCGCAGAACATATCGCACTAAAGCTGGCATGAGGATTTTGCCTAAGCTCTAAGCACCTAAAGCATTGAAGCAGACTCACACTCTTGGCCAAAGCTTCATAAGCCCTACGTGCAGCCTAAGACGAAAACGCATCATCGACTCTGGCACTCAAGGAGTTGTCTTTGGGACTTTGAGAGCGCGGAACCCAAGTCCCTTATCCCCGATCTGCTTTCCTCAAATGGCTAAGAAACAAGATTTCGGGTTGAGGGATTTCAGGTAGAGGCTTTAAGGCTTCGCGGGGCCGAAAACCCAAAACGCTACACTCACATCTCCAGGCTCCAACATACCACAAAAAGACCAGCAGCCTCAAAACCCTAAATCCTGGGTCCCCCCCATGCCCTAAAACCCGAAACCCTAATCAAATCCGACTACCCTAAACACTGAAAGACCCGAGCCCCGAATCTCGACACAAGCCGAGTATGGGACTCTACACCCTACCACCCTCAACCCTAAACCAAAACCCAAATGTCAAGAGTTCAGAGCCCATAAGCCCCAGATAGTAGAAAAACTCCAAAACCCGAAGCCCAAAGTGGCAAAACACGTCAAAACTCTCCAAATCTCTGACCGAAGGAAGCTTAGGGCTTGGGGTTCGGGGTTTCGGCCTGGAAGGCGGACTCGGCAGAGTCGAACTGCACGACCTCGCTTGCCGGGCGATTGGTGTTTTACGTGTTGCACTTTTCGGTTTTAGGGTTCAGGGCACTGGGGGGTTGGCGGGTTCGAGCTTCGGGGTGTTATGTGAAGTTTTTGCGGCTTTTTTTCTGCAGTTCCATGTGGCCTCATATGCCGGAACGTGCTGGACAGTCGGATTAGGATCTGAGGGCGGTGCGGGAATTACGCTGCAGGATGTTAGGGCTTAGGGTGTAGGGACTGAGGCTGCACACTTTTCCCAGAATCCGTCGAAGCCTACAAAATGTTGATGTGTTTCTTGTCAAAACCCCCACTACCCTAGCTAACCCTACAAACCCTAAACCCCCTGCAGCCTAAACCCTAAAGCCCTCAACCTAAAGCCTTGAACCTTGAAACCCTAAACATATACAGCTTGGGTCCCGCTCCAATGCTTTGGCAGCTAGGGACTGTACGCGGCGGAGTTCGTGCATGGCAGCTGGCAACATCTCAAAGCCCGAGAACCTTACGTGGGAGACTGCCGAGCCGCACCAATCTTCGCTGAGCCCTCCTCAGAAAGGGAGGCACTGATGTAGCCCACCTCATGGACAATGCGAATTACTAGTACGAGAAGGAGAAGAAGAACTACAATCGCAAATTATCATAGTGGTGCAAAGATAAGCACATGTCCATAGTTGTGGCAAGTAGAATAAGAACGGCAATCGTGGAAAGGATAGCGATAATCGTATACGTGGTAAACTTAAGTATGAAATCCCATGCTGGTCACACCAGTCTTGCGGTGTTCGTGGCTGCCACAGGCAAGGAAGCAGCACTGACTAGTATGAAAATCAGGCACCTAGTCTTGATTATGTTCGCAAGCAGGCTGCCTTCTGCGAGCTATCCTATTTGCTGCAGGTTTTCTTGCCACCTTACGAACCATGGAACCCAGCCCGAGAGCCTGTGGCTGTACATGTCACCAAACCTGAAAACCAATCCCCGCCCCCTCCCAACCCCTATAAACTCTCACTTCTATCCCTGAAACCCTGGATTTAAATACTAAGTTTGAAACCCTACAGCCGTAAAACCCTGAGCGCTGCAGCCCTGAACACCCTCTCCTCTTGAGCTGAGATACGCAGCCACTGAACAGGATGTGCATCTCCCGACTAGTGGCATCTCTCTCGACCCCGTGCACCTGGCGTCTAGAGCTCCGCCCGAAACAATAAGCAGGCTCAAGGTTAAAGGTTGTTCCATGTCAAGTGTAAGGGTTTTTGGGGTGTGGTGTACGGGGTTTGAGCTTTCCAGAGACGCTGCTTGCTGCCTGCTCAGCAGTGGTGGTGGTGGTGGCGGTGGTGGAGCTGGTGCTGGTGCTGGTGCTGGTGCTGGTGCTGGTGCTGGTGCTGGTGCTGGTGCTGGTGCTGGTGCTGGTGCTGGTGCTGGTGCTGGTGCTGGGAATGGTGGATGTCAGTGTTGATTTAGCATCATGGCAGCGCAATGACTATCTTGACGGCTGTCGTTCCTCCACTGCTATTGAGGCTATATGGCATCTTCACGTTCCTGTTCCTTTTCTTATTGAGTCCTCAGGAAGGGAAGCAAGACTCGCAACCGGGTAAGCTTTGTGACGGCTAAGCTTAGGGGTACATCCCCAGAATTCATCAACACCTGAAACAGCCCGTGGGAGAAGCCGGTCAAACCTTTTCATCTGAAATGTCACTCCCAAAACCAAACCTTCACCGTATCATACCGAAACAGTCCCTGTGCATGAAAAACTTTACTAGGGTTCACGGCACAAGGCCCTAGTGAGTGACGAACCCGAAAACCTGCATCCCTAGACTCTTACGGCCTCGAACCCTAACTCCTCGAACCCTCAAGCTACTGCAACATTCATGCTGGGATTTCGATCTAGGGGGGGGGTCCTTTCTGGGATCTTATAGTAACGATCTTGCTAGTTGGGGCTACGGCTATTTTCGAGTTCCAAGCCCCACAGGACCCCCTGTGAATCCCTTCTACAAGCCTGTAACACCCTGATACAGCCCCAACCCTAATCCCAAAAGCCCATCTAGCCCTATGATAGACAAAGAGCCTGGAGGATTGCGCCAGAAAGGGAGTCGCCGCTATCGCTGAGCTTTCCCATGGTATGTTTCTTTGGTTGCTGTCTCTCTGAGAGTTGAAAAGGTTTAAGGTTTGGAGATTTAGTGCTTGAGGTTCTGGGGAGTAGAGTTGTGGGTTTGGTGCTATGGGGTCATAGGGTGTTGGCTCGGCGCTGCGAGAGTCGTGCAGCTAGGGATGCACAATGGGCTCGGGCCATGTTACGGGCCCGACTTGGCCTCTTGGCCTAGGAGGCACGTTTGCTTGTGGAATGTAGATGGAGTCTTTGTTGAGTACCTTCAACAAGTTGTTGCAGGCCATGCTTGTTGAATTGATGTCGTAGGAGTGAAACAAATGGCTGCAGAAAACAAAGGTCATTTGGGGTCCCAAGCTTCGGGCTCTGATTCAAGGTTTAGGGCTTTTGGGCTTTGCGTTGGCCTAAGCTTTGAGCAGGGTTTCAGGGAGGAGCGGAGAGGTCCAAATTTGCGCGAAGGGTGCAGGGGCCTTCCGGCCTTCTGTGAGTATCATGCGGGTTCGGCTTACGGGTTCTGGGATTACGGCTTAGCTTGGCTTACACGATATGCGGTGTAGGGCATGGAGTCTGGAGGGCATGGCCATCCAGCAGATGGACAAGACGCTGCATTATCCACAATGAAGACTACTGCAGAATGCCCATGGTTTGGAGTCATATTAAGGTCACGCAGAGTTTGGTACACAGACCGTGGAGGTTGATCTCAAATCGATCCCTCCTCCCCTTTCTGGCTGTGTACCTATATTATATACTTGGAAAGACCGTGACTTCGGCAGTAGCACTGTAGTGAGGATGGTTCTGGCCAGTCACTCCAATCAGTAAATGAGTGCCGAAGTCAAAACAGTAACATGTAACATAACACATAACATAACATAACATAACATAACATAACATAACATAACATAACATAACATAACATAACATAACACAACATAATGATTACATGCATATACATTTTGCATGTGCTGTTAAATGTTGTATGTTCCCGAATATTTACCTATGCTCGTAGTTACTTGTTTAATTACTCTTCAGGCCCGAGGACCTCCAAGGAAAACCCAGTGAGCCAAGACCCTAGAATCCCGAAGCCGTCACTGCCAATGTGCTTGAAATTATCTCTGAAGCTTAAGCCCTATAACCCTAAACCCCCAAGTCCCTACGTCTTGCTCCAAACCATGATGCCCTGTAGTCTGTACCCCTTCAAAACACGAATCTCTGAACCGTCGTCTGAACCCTTGAGACCCTCGAGAGCACTGCAAGCCCAACTCTGATCCCAACAAAGTTGAGGTCCCGTATCCAGGCTAGGGGTTCGTGTAGCAAGGCTCCAAAGGGATTTTCCGCATCCCCTCACGGCCTCACGGCAAATCCCATAAACCCCACAGCCCATCTCTAAGTCTCTGCCCGTCGAGCCTGCAGAGCCTCTGCTACCAACCAGGGTTGGCTTGGAATGCCAGGCCTCACGCTGTGGTGGAAGGCTCAGGCTTTAGAGACTTTTGCGGTTACAGGTCTAGTGCTTAGGGGTCTCAACCTCGTGCAAACAGGTAAAGCCTGCAAACCCTAAATCTATGCCCGACATAAACACTAGACTCTGACCTCAAACCAGCCCTGCCCCCACTCCACGGTGTTTAAGTCTTGGGGGTTCAGGGTGGCTTCTGACTTGGGGCCTATGACGGGGCTCTTGAACTTACGGCATCTGTCTAAGCGCCCTCATGACAAGGTCTCCTAAGGCTGTTGGAGTTCGGAGCTTGGTGTCTTTCCCTGTCTGGTTGTTTGGGCAGAGTCCAAGCCTTAGGGGCCAAGGATGAAGGAATCGGAACTAGGGTTTCGCCGCTTAGAGGTTAGTGACGTTTTGTGTGCCCTGGATGTATGTTTTGGAGAGTACAGCAAATTCTGCCGTTAGGGTTAAGGGCTAGGTTTCTGGCCTATTGCTATTTGCTTGAATGGCTCCTGCAGCGGGATGGATTGCATGATTGCCATGCTCCCCTCATGCCATATCCGCCATACCTGCAGCTGCCATGCAGCCCTTTGGCGTACCACCACATGCTCAGACAAACCAGTGGTACGGTGGCTGCCTGTCCAAGTATGCAACCACTAAATATCTGGGGAAGCCAGAAGGTCAGGGTGCGAGTGCTGGCAGCTTCAACGAGAAACTGCTTAGCGGCCACGACTCTTCAATGACACTCTACACTCCCAAATCCAAAGCCAACAGGTTTTAAGCATTTCAAACTTAAACAATTTCCAACAACCCTAATATCTAAAGCCTGGAGACGCTTAAAGCCTCCCTTTTGATTAGGATTTCAATGTGGCGTGGGGTCTGGCTTACTGCGGCAGGACGAAAGTTCGTC